GTTGTGGTGGCCCTGACGTTGCATATGTTAGACCCTGTCTCTTATACACATCTAGATGTGTATAAGAGACAGATATATATATTCTGTTTGTGACGATATATATATATATATATATATATGTGGCAAATTATATACTTCTAGTCCCATAGTCGTACGGCCCGTAAGATCATCTAAACTCAAATCCAAACTTGGCCCACGTGCGGTCCAACCCGTGGTCCAATCCACATACCAGGTGTGGTCCAATCCTTGGTCCGATGTTGCTCCAGGTATGGAGGAGCAACTACTTCCGGGGTGTGGTCCGATTCCTATGCCAGGCCTGGTCCAATCCATACACCAGGTGTGGTCCAATCGGTATACCGGGTGTGGTCCTACCCATACACCAGGTGTGGTCCAGTCCTCCGTCCAGGATTAGTCCGTAGTCCAGACAGGTTTGGCCGGGACCTCGCGTCGGGACCCCGACCACCCAGGTTGATAGATTGGTGCTGGTATGTGGATTCAGGATCGCTCCACTGTTGCATCCTCTCGACTTCCAAAACACCCTGTCAATGTTGAAGAAAAGGGTCCAAAAAAAACCGAAAAAAAAAACACAACACAAAAAAACGAGTCGAATCAACGTTTACGCGAGCACCCTGCTGCTATACCGGCTGTTTTTTTCTTTTTTTTTTTCCCTTTTTTTTCTTTTCTTTTTTGCTCACCGGGATAGCCTCCTGAAGAGTACCCGTGCACAGCCCGCCGAAAATGGAAAAAAAAAAAAAAAAAAAAAACAGCAGGTCGTCGAGGGATGTGCGCGTTCTGAGAACTCAAGCATGCAGAGTTGAAATTTGATCATTGCTTGTAACTTCATCTTTTTTCTGTTTGTCTTTTTTTCTTTTATATCTGATATTTCGTAGCATCTTTCTGAAGCAATTTGACCATTGCTTGTCACTTCATCTTTTTTTTCTGTTTTTCTTTTTTTTTCTCCCCGATTTTTTTCATCTTTGTCTTTCTTTTCCTTTCTTTTCTGGTTTTTTTTTTTTTTTTTTTTTTTTTGAACCGGGTCTAACTCCCAACGAGACCCCAGCCACCCTCCTTTACCTCCTCCCGGCCAGATGACCTGCCCGGACAGCGGTTGCAGGCACCAGTGCCTGGTCACCTCTGCATTTACGTCGAGCGATGGAGTTTCTTCTTCCTTCTTCTTCGTCGTCCTTCTTCTTCCTCCTCCCCTCTCCATCTTCTTCAAAGCCTCTGCCTTTCCGTTTCAATATCCGCTTGCATCGGAACACAAAGGTCGCGTGTTCGATTCCCGGAGGCGCCCCTCGAAAACACGTTGGTTCTGCAAAGCCTCTGCCTTTCTTTTGGGACCTCTCTTGGTTCCGCAAGAAAAGAAAAGAAAAGAAGAGAAAAAAAAAAAAAAAGGAGGAAGAAGAAGAATATGGGTGAAAGACAGTGGCCATAGACTGCTTCTCGCACACGCATCGACAAGATACGATATTTCAATACTTCTCCGCATGTACAGTTCTCAGTTGAAAGCGCGAAGAAGAAGAAGGAGAAGCCTTAGGTTGGTTAAAGAGAGGATCGCTCTGTCAAGAACGGGTATCGATCTCCTCTCTGTTCTGTCCTTTGAGCAGAACGCAAATTCTCTGTTCTGTCCAATTTAAAAATGCAAAACTAACTAATGTCCTTTGGGACATCCGTTAAAATTGGAACGATACACAAAGGGTAATTAGCAAATGGCCCCTGCGCAAGGATGACACGCATAAATCGAGAAATGGTCCAATTCTTTTTTTAAAGATTAAAAAAAAAAATGCAAAACTAAAATTAGAATGGGAATTGAAGCCATTGAAAAAAAAGAAAAAGAAAAAGCCCTACTGCCAGCAGCTCCGCACGCAAATCCATTTGTTTGCCAATTTAAAAATGCAAAAATAAAAAATTAGATTTTAGCTTCGTTTTTTTTTTTTCATGTTTGGCCCCGCCGCACGAGCGGTTCCGGGCCGCTCTGGAAACGTAGCTCGAAATGAATCTTTCGGGCATGAGAGAGCACGTAACGTTGGCCTCGCTACCTCTATATATCTTTTTCAGATTCTCCGTTCGTTTTCGTCTTCTTCGTTAGAGACAGAAAGCAGGAGAGCGAGAGACAGACACAGAGACTAATTGATTGATTGATTGATTGTTTGATTGATTGGATTGATTGGAATGATTGGATTAATTGGATTGATGGGATTGAATGGATTTTGATTAGATTTAGATAGGATTCATTGGATTGATCGGTTGGTTGATTGATTGATTGGTTGATTGATTGATTGATTGATTGATTGATTGATTCTCTGATAGGGAAAGAAAAAACGGCATTAACAAAGAGAAGAGACAATAGGTGGGGTCACGGGGATAGATTGACTGTTGATGGATTGCATGATTGAGAGAGAGGGAGAGAGAGGGAGAGGGGGAGAGGGAGAGAGGAAAGGAGAGAGCGAGAGAGAGGTAGAGAGAGGAGTAAGAGAGACAGGGAGAGGGGGAGAGAAAGGGAGAGAAAGGGAGAGAAAGCGATAGAGGGAGAAAAAGGGGCTTAGACCCGAAGATCAATCATCATCATCGTATGCAACTGATTGCCTCAGGATTCGACCTTCTGAAGTTCTGATGTGTCTAAAAAAAAAAAAAAAAAAAAAAAAAAAAAGAGAAGAAGAAAAGGTGAACAAGCGTGCTGCACCGTTCAGCCGCAAAAGGCAGGTGACCAGGTACTTTTCCTGTTATTATCAGCTTACACTTTTATCTATTTTTTAATCTTTTTTTTTTTCACACGTATAGTATACCGCACGATACACAATATATATCACAATTCATAAACAGTATTGCAAACAAACAAATTTACAAAACTGAAAATTGTTATCCCCCGGTTAAACCCATAAATAAAACTGATTTTCACTCCTCTTGCCTCCACCACGGATACATTGACCCCTCTCACTCACTCTCACACTCTCTCTCTTACTCGTCCTGCTGCTGATCCTCTCTTCACCTCAAACTGACTAGACACTAACTTTTATTTATTTATTAATAATAACCATTAATAATAAATAATACTCCTTTTTCTAATTCCTGCGCTCCTCTCTCTATTCCCCTCCTACTTCTCGCTGCATCTCCTCCTCCTCCTCCTCGTCCTCCTGCTGCTGCTGCTGCTGCTGCTGCTGCTGCTGCTGCTGGATCACTTTGTCTTTCTTCCCCTCTTCCTCCCCCCCCCTGCACATCGCTCCTCGTTACTCGCTTTGTGCATGTCATCCTTAATTTCGTCAGAGGTGCATGCTAATCTTCTCCGTATAGGTCCAAATCAACGGCTGTGATATCGCGCACGACTCGTTCCCCTCCCTCCCTCCCTCCCTCCCTCCCTCCCTCCTCCTCCTCCTCCTACTACTACTACTGTCTTCACCCGAATACAACGTACGGTCATTATTGCTGCATCTAGACTCAAAGTCGCCTCACATACAGCTATAATGACCGTACGTTGTATTCGGGTGAAGACGGTAGTCGGCGTTCTTCTCCTCCCCCGTCCTTACTCGTCATCCTTCCTCCTCCCCCTCCTCTGCTCCTCCTCCCCGTCCTCTGATCCTCCCACTTCTTCCTCTCCTTCCTCTTCCTCCTCTTCTTCTTCTTCCTCTTCCCCTCCTTTTCTTCCTCCTCCACGTTCTCTCTTACTTCTCTTCCTCCCTCCACCCTCCCCCCCCACCCCTCCCCCCAACCATTCTTCGAGCCTCCCAGACGTGACGTCCTCATGAAAGATGACCAGGATGACGTCCATAATAAAGATGATGTAGATGACGTGGATGACTAGACTGATGAGCAGATGAAATAAGAATATGCATCCATGTATACATGAATGAGCTAGGCTACCAGAGTGGCCCGGGACAACTTGCCTGGCCGCGCCAAAAAAAAATAAAAAGGTAAAAAAGTAAAAAAATATTTTTTTTAATTTTATTTTTTATTTTAAATTTGGTAAAGAATTTCGATGTGAGCCTGAGGCAAGAGTTGTTCAGTTTATTTTTCTGCATAACATAGTATTTTTTCGTTTTTTTTTTCTTTTTTGGGGGGGTACCTTCCCTGGTCCTTGCACGGCCGGGCCGGCCGGGAAAACAGGGTGACACGGGCAGCCCGGCGGGCAGCCTGGTGAATGAGCTTTTTTTTTTTTTTTTTTTTTTTTTTT